ACGTCGTTGTCAAGAGCCATGACGTCATGGACCCAAAAGACTGACGTCATTAAATCACATATTCACGCCCCTCGTCCCTAATGGATCGTCAAGGTGCATATTGTGGCGTTCTGTTGATCTCCCTGTATACAAGATGGCATCTACGAGATTCTTTCAGTGGAGGAATCTTTTTTCGCTGTGAGAAGATAGATGACCACCGCTACCAAAGACGTAAGAAGAGTTAATGAATATAAATCAGCCCGCATGGTTAATTCGCTGCTCGTGAGTCCATCGCGTGCCTTTCGTATCCGCGCGCTCTAATCGTTTCGGACCATTTTGTTTAACAGCTCCCCCGTAAGTCCCGCCGCACACGAGCATAACCTCTCCCCCCAAAAAAAAATAAATGATAATAATAATAAAAACAAAAACAAAGATAAAGATCGATATGTTAACCTCGACCTTCCCTGCATCAGTCTCCACTTAATTATCTTCAATCCATTTAATTGCATTTCGCGTGCGAGACCGTCGTGTCCCCGTTATAATGCGGATGAGGGAACGAGATTCAGAGACCACGAGCCTAAAGGAAAATATAGGCGAGGAGTAGCATGCCCTCTTCTTCTCCTCTCGGCGCGTTGCTGCAGTGGATCAATAGGATGATTTTGTCTTAGCCTTCATCACGCGCCGGAGTTAATTGGGATTGCCTATAGTTTTTTTTATGAAATAGTGTTAATGTATTCAGGTAAAATTAGAATTAGAAGAGGTGAAATGGTCTATTTGGCTTCTAAGATAAAAAGTAAAACAATAAAAAAAAATACGGAAAAGATATTGTGAAAGGATAAGACAATCCTAATACAGTGAGACAGTGAACTGATAAAGGATGACATATCACACACACACACACACACATACACACACACAATACAAACACGTACAACCAATCCAAAAATATTATATTGACGAAGACAACAAACAAAACGAAATAAAGAAATAAAAACAAACAGATAAGAAAAACATAATCGCAAATCGAACGACATGAAACCAGGCCAAGGTTCGATCACTTCAAAATCTCCCTCTCTGTGACCTTCAGCGAAGCCATTTCCGGCTGGCGCGAATCAATTTAATTTCTTGTAATAATCCCGTATCCCCTTCCTATTTTTTTTTTTCTTTTTTTCATCTTTTATTTTCTTTCCTAAATTGGTATGGTGCAAGATTTCCCAACATCAAAGGACTTTATCCAAATTATGAAGACGCTGTGTTTATCACGTGTGAAATTATATATTTTTTAACCTTGATTTATCTTTTAATTTCTTGATTTTTGCTATTATTGTTATTCTTGATAATAACGATGATAATATTAATAATGGTGATAATAACAGTGATGATGATGATGACGATGATAATAAGAATAATTATCAAAATAATAAGAATTATCATAATAACAATGATGATGATATCAATAACAATGAAAATAATAATAATAATAATAATAATAATAATGATAATAATAATAATAACAATAATAATAATAATAATAACAATAATAATAATAACGACTAGAAAAGCACTCAGAGAGTGCAGACCTCCGCCAAGGTGCGTATATAATGTACTTACACCGCTGCTGCGTCCAGACGGTAATTCGGAATGTCACCAAAATTTAATCAGTTCTAAGTTAGTCCCTTTCTGACTTGTCCAGAAAATTTAGATTAAATCCGGCCAGCACTTTTTGAGCTACGCTGCTAACAAACAAACCAACCAACAAACCAACGCCGTCAAAAACATAACTTCCTTGGCGGAGGTAACATTAACAATAAAATGGGAGATGGTGAAATGTGGCACACGTTTACCGTAGATTTGTGTACCGAACTTGGATAGTAAATTTATTGATTAAATAAATAATGATAATAATAATAACCAGACGGTAATTCGGAATGTCACCAAAATTTAATCAGTTCTAAGTTAGTCCCTTTCTGACTTGTCCCCAAAATTTCGATGAAATCCGGCCAGCACTTTTTGAGCTACGCTGCTAACAAACCAACAAACTAACGCCGTCAAAAACATAACCTCCTTGGCGGAGGTAATAATAATAATGAAAAGAACAACAACATCCGATGAAAATAATAATAAAAAATAAAATAAAATAAAAGACTAGTAATGATAATAATAATAATAATAATAATAACAATCCTCCTCCTAATCCTCCTCCTCCTCCTCCTCATGGTCTTTATTGTTATCATTATCCCTTATCATTATCAATATTCCTATTACTATTGTATCGTACGTATAATTATTCACGATAAACAACAATACATGTGAATAACATAAACAACAATAAAAAGTATTTTTTGATAAAACTGGTAACACAATGTCAGCTGTAATTATATTAACACATAATTTGTTGATTTTTAATTAAGTGACTCTGTTCCTTTACTCTCAATGAAACCAACAGAGCCTTAATCTCCTATTTATTACAGTTATCATGTTTAAAGTATTAATCAATGTATATACTCCGAAATACTATAAA